AATGTTTAAACATGAAGTTGAGAATCAATTACACATGAAGATAAAGATGCTCCGATTTGATAGAGGTGGAGAGTATCTTAGTATCGAGTTCCACGAGTATCTCAAGGAATGCATGATCGTTTCACAATTGACTCCCCTTAGGACACCAAAACTTAATGGTGTGGCTAATAGGTGTAATCAGACCTTGGTAGATATGGTTCGTTCCATGACAAGTTGAGCTTCTCTTCCCATTTATTTATAGAGGTATGCCTTGGAGACATCGGCCTATATCCTCAATCTTGTCCCCACCAAGAAGGTTGGCAAAACACCTTACGAGATATGGAAAAGGAAAGTTCCCTTGTTAGCACATATCAAGGTATAGGGTTGTGAAGCTTTTGTTAGATGTGAGACTCATGATAAGCTAGAACCTAGAAGTGAGAAGTGTATTTTCATTGGCTACCTACAAAAGTATTTTGGATATTTGTTCTACAGACCTAGTGAGAACACGGTCTTTATAGCACGAAGAGAAGTCTTTCGTGAGAGAGGGAGAGAGAGATAGAGAGAGATAGAGAGAAAGATCAAATGCAAAGAGGATAGTAGAAGTACAATTAAACTTGAAAAGATTCAAGAGTCAGCCAATAAAGGAACCTCAGAAGACACTAGCTCTCAACCAGAGGATGAGACTCATGTTGAGCCTATTGACAGTTCATTACCTCTTCGCCGATCCAGTAGACTCCTGTTGAGCCCTATGGTTTTCATATAACTACAGATGGTGATACGTTTGTCAGTGACCATACACCAGTAAATTTTGATTAGCCAGCTAACTACAAGGAAGCAATGCCAGGCCCTGAGACTGCCAAGTGGAAAGAGGCATTGGACAGCGAGATCAAGTCAATGTATGATAACCAAGTTTGGAATTATTTTGATCACGTACCAGGTCGAAAGACAGTTAGGTACAAATGGATCTTCAAGAAAAAAACTGACATGGATGGAAATGTACACACTTTGAAGGTACAACTAGTTGTGAAGTGCTTTACTTAAACCCCAGGGATTGACTATGATGAGACATTCTCACCAGTGGCCAATATAAAGTCTATTAGGATAATGCTCGCCGTAGCTGCCTTTTATGATTTAGAAATATGGCAAATGGGTGTAAAAACCGGTTTATTTAATGGGAAGTTAGCTGAAGATGTTTACATGATTCGACCATAGGGCTAGATGCAAAGTTTCCTAATAGAGTGTGTAAGCTTGAGAAATCAATTTATGGATTAAAACAAGTGTCTCGTAGTTGGAACCTTTGCTTCCATGAGAAAATCAAACTTTTCAAGAAGTAAAGTCTTTGCTTGGAAACGAAATTCCTAATATTGTATGTTGATGACATACTTCTCATAGGAAACGACATTCCAACTTTGCAAGAAGTAAAGTCTTTGCTTGGAAAGTGTTTTTCCATGAAGGATCGGGGAGACGCAGCCTATATTCTTAGGATAGGAATTTTAAGGGATAAAAACAAAAGACTAATTGGTCTTAGTCAGAGTACATACTTGGATAAGGTACTAAAACGTTTTAGTATGGATAATTTCCAATAAAGGAGAGTTAGCTATTCAAAGCAATGCCAAGTTGAAGAGTTAGTTAGAGTAAGACTCGAAGCCCTAGTACAAATGAAGAGTTAGCAAAAATGAGTCGAGTCCCATATGCTTCGGCTGTAGGATCGATCATGTACGCTATGACATGTACTCGCCCTGATATGTCTTTTGCTTTAATCATGGTTAGTCGCTTTCAGAAAATCCTGGCAGAGCTCATTGGATGGCAGTGAAGAACATTCTTAAGTTTCTGAGAAAGAAAAAGGACATGGTTCTAGTCCTTGGTGGCAGTGATACGTTGAGAGTTAGTGGGTATAGTGATGTCAACTTTCAAACAGATAGAGATAACCTTCATTATCCATCTGGTTAGGTGTTCCTGTTAAATGGTGGAGTGGTTACTTGGAAAAGTTCCAAGAAGGACATGGTGGTTGATTTTACTTGTGAATCGGAGTATATAGCAGCAAGTGAAGCATCAAAGGAAGCGGCTTGGCTGAAGAAATTCATCGGCGATCTCGGATTAGTTCCGACCATTCATGAGCTAATGGAACTTTTCTGCGATAATGAAGGAGGGGTTGCTTTGACCAAAAAACTGAGAGATCATGGTAAATCCAAACATATCGACATAACGTACCATTATATCAGACATAGAGTTGAGGATGATTATATCTTGGTGAAAAGAGTGTCATCAGAAGACAATCCTGCAGATCCTTTCGCGAAGGCTCTGAATAGGGTTAAGCATAATCAACATGCTAGGAGCATTGGTTTGAGAGATGATATTAGTTTTAGGAGTTAGATGATAAGTTTGAAAATTGTAACAAAATAAATGTTATTGATTTTGGTGATTGAATAATAGAGATTATTTATGAGTTTGTTTACTGCCTTTGTTAATTACTTATTTTTGTGTTTAGATTTGCATGCTTTACTTCCTGAATAATTTGATTATTCGAAACACCAAAGTCTCTCATACTTTAGGAAGTAAGTACTGAATGAAGACTGTCATGAATTGATTGTAGATTGTCTATGAAGCTTAGAAATTGCAATGGTTGATATAATATTCATGAGTACTTAGAAAATGGAGATTTTGAGTATTAGATAAACCCACGCTCAGAGAATTACTTCATGGATTCTATCATGAGTAATTCTAAGACGATAATATCTTATATTCTTAAAATGGAGATATATGAGTTGTAATATACAAGTCGGTTGTGCATTGGTGTTATGTAAATGCATCAGTAACTTGATGTTATAAAACTTAGTGTCATGCATGATTTGGTCAGTAAAGGATACAAGCATATGAGTAAAAGTTTATTCGTTCCTTTTGTCCTAACGGGAAAAGCGATATTTTTGGCCCCCTCAGTGATTTTGTGTTAACTTATAGTGATGGGCCCAATCACGACTAAATTAATGTGTTCTATTAGTAAGTCTTATGAGGTCATCACAAATCGGGAAATCGGGAAACAAAATTTTGGACAATGAGATTGATTCTAATCCATGTCTCGTGTCCATCCGATATCTTGTAGAACGAAAGAATATTTGATCACTTATCTAATTAGGACCAATGTCTGATTAGATAAGAGAATCGAGTGGCTTTGGGAAGCATCCTTTGTTGTTTAGTTTAAAATTTATACTTGGAATTATAGTTATAGACTTATCCAAGTGGGAGACTGTTGGATTAGGTTTCTAAGCCAATAACTAAATTGATATATACTTGAATTAAAGGCAAAGTCCTTTTGGGTTACCCTCAAACCTGGCAATCGATTAGAATGACTTTTGGAGAGAGGGAGACTGATTTATTGGTTTATTATATGATTAATAATTAGCAATAAATAATTTATTAATATATTAATTAGAAATAGTATTATTTAATTAAGAATTAATCAGAAATAAATTGAAATTAATTTTGGGATTAATTGGATTAATTAAAAGTGCAAGGACTAAAACTGTAATTGGTCAATAGTTGAACAAGAGAGGAATTCTGGAGTCTTCCTAGGGTTGGCCAAAAATTAGAGACTCCGTAGGGTTTCTAGAATAATATATATGGATAATATGGATAATTAGGAAACTAGATAATTCTGGATTTGAAATAATATTATTTTATTTCGAATTAGGGTTTCTAGGGTTTTCCTATCAACTATAAATATGGTCCTTAGCTCACTGATTTCGGACACTCATACCTTTAGAAGGATAGCCTAAATTTCCATCCCCTCTCTTCTCTCCTCAAAGAGTTCTTAGTTTCTAGGGTTTAAGTGTGAACCATCAGAGACACATGATTTTTGGTGCTTGCTTCTAAGAGTTTTTGAAGAAGGTTTCCCTTGATTATTTAGAAGAATAATCAAAAAGGTATGTAAACTGTATCCCTCTTATGATTTTTGAAAATACTAGGGTTTCTATATGGTTCTTTGATGTTCATAGATTATAGATTTCAATAGTGATAACGTGGATCCAATTAGGTTACATGTGAACTTAAGAGTTAAGTTATTTTCCGCCACATAAATTTTGTAATCTATAAACCTATCAAGTGTCCCATATATCCACATGATTGCTATTGAATCGATTAGATCCCATTTGGAATTTTGGTCGAATGGAAGAAAGAATGGTGATGTTAGATCAAGTCAGGCGATGAGAAAAGATTGAAAGGAGATAATTGTGGATAAAAAATATCATAAAACTATACGTTCTAATACCATGCTATTTACTATACGTTCTGATACCATGCTATTTTCATATTTTCCATAATTGTCTTCTCTTATTCAAAGGATATAAATACCATGATAATACATGACATGTGCATGACGTATAATATACGTTTGGGCCAATATGCAACAAATAAAAATAAGCATATATAATACAAAAGAGGATAACGTAAATACACATAAACTCTAACAATATTGACGTTCGATAGATATAGAGTTCAATAATCATTGAACTCTTTAATAGTAAAAAAAATTATTGATTAAATGTGCATTATTAGATTGTATAAATATGTCCTGTTGAATTTTTTAAAGTTTAATGAATTTTAGAAAAAAATTATAGTATTCCATGGAGAGTAAATTGATGTGACATTATATTTAACTTAAACTTTAAAGAGTTGGAAGGGTTGTGCATATCCTAACAATGTATGGTAAAAAAAATTACAACTTATATAACAGTTTTTATGTCAAAGTTAATTGTAATATATTAAAATGGTATTAATGTGTGTATTCAAATTTCTTTTATTAATAAAAATACATTTAATAAACAAGCAAGTAATTTTAATCTAATGCACTAGTTTCTTTTATGATGATGAAGTATGTATTATTGGAATTAATGAAATGAAATGCTCTTTTAGGATTTGGCTTTATTTTCACATTTGCCTGCACGTCCCTTATATACTATTCAATTGCCCATCTGTCAACATTTCGGACCCCATATATTTCTTCGGATCATCCCCATTCTTTCAATCACCTTCCTCCATCTCTCTCTTTCTCTCTCCAAAAGAAACTTCTGCCATCGATTCATTTTAGCCATCAGCTAGCGATAGTAACTGTATATGCATATAGATTTATATACATAAAGGCGCTAAGAAAAGGTGGCGGATCTGTCAAGAAACACCTGGAGTTAATACATCATGGAAGTAGGCTTTCATCCGTTCACCCTCCATCAAGAAGACAATCAAAACTCACCGGAAAACAGTGATGAGCCGCCGCCCTCAACTCTGTTCTACGACACCAAGGCAACATCTACTTCCTCTCCTAAAAGAAGGTGAGTCAAATTCTAGCACAAAACACATACAAACATAATTTAATTCCTCAAGAAAAAAAGAGCCAACAATTTGCAAGATATGGATGAGTTACAATACTTGTAAGACATACGTTAATTGTTGGAGTTTACAGTAGACGAGGGACACATAAAAGAGTGGTTCAAGTGCCGATCAAAGACGTTGAAGGATCTCGGCTTAAGGGTGAGACTAATGCTCCGCCGTCTGATTCTTGGGCTTGGAGAAAGTACGGCCAGAAACCCATCAAAGGATCTCCTTACCCCAGGTATTTACAGTTTCTACATTTTTTGTTAAAAGAAATTTCTTTCCTAAACTAAGTTGTTAGTCAGTTGAGTTATATTAAATTTTTTTTCTTTAGGATCGAGTAACCTGATCAGAATATATATTTGTAAATCGAGTGTGAAAACATGAATCGGATCAAATCATTTAAAAATAATGCAGTAAACCTTTCATTATATCATTTAGCTACTAAAATCTGACGTTGAACTAATCAAACCTGATTTTTAAATTGATAATCATTCAAAAGGAAAATTGCAGTATACTTTTAATTATATCATTCTCCAGTAAAATCTTTAAATTCATTTCCTGGTCATAACTTTAAATAATATCATCTTAGATTGGAGTGCCAATTTTATTTCTTCTAGCATGGTGACGTTTTTTATATATAAAATGTATTCATCAAAAGATCGATGAGTATATTGATAACAAAATTAAAATATGACAATAAATTGTGAAAATTGTGATCAATAAAATTCATTGTCTTCATTTTAAATTTTATCATCACGAATTTAATTATGTATTTTTATATTCTATCTTCCGTTGTATTTTCTCTCAATAAAGAAACTATCTTTTTTGTCAACCAAACACAACATGAATTTTATATTGATAATTATTCAAGAAAATTATAGTAAAATATTATATTTATCATATTGCTTTTAATGTGTATTTTTTTTATTAATTAAATCCATTGTCATAAATATTATCATCATGAACTGAAAGTTTGCATTTCTTTCTTCTGTAAATAGCTTGTTACAAGACCATACCTCATTTACAGCGACATTAATTTCGGATTGAAGCTTTCTAGAAATCTACAGTTTTAAATTTGGAAAATACAATTGCATGTAAAAATACTCATACTAGGCGATATGATTTACGCAAAGTGGTTATATATCTTCAATTTAGTTCAATTACAATATTAACAAACCTCCATTATTTTTTGTTTTTACAGGGGCTATTATAGGTGTAGTAGTTCCAAAGGATGTCCAGCAAGAAAACAAGTAGAAAGAAGCCGGACGGACCCTACTATGGTGATGGTGACATATTCATGTGAACACAACCACCCATGGCCGGCTTCTAGAAACCATAATCACCATCCCCACCACAACCCACCACCCGCATCACCTCCAAGCGCCTCCACTCCAACCACTGAAGCAGAAACTTCCATTACAGATGACCAACTGGAAGAAGAAACACCAATTCTTATTACACAATCGGAGCCTGATCAGCTTGAGCCTGAGCAGAAGTTCTCAAGTCTCGAGGTTGGATCATGTGGACCATTTTCGGACCAATATGGGTGGTTCTCAGACTTGGACTCCACATCATCAACCATGCTAGAAAGTCCTTTGATGGCTAGGGATGTAGTTGAAGACAGCGACATGGCAATGATTTTTTCAATTAGAGAAGATGAAGAGTCGTTTTTTGCTGATCTTGGTGAGCTACCCGAATGCACGACAGTTTTCAGACGGAGAGAGATAGAAAGGGTGGAGGAGCACCGCCGGAACTTGGCTCCATGGTGTGGCAGCACAGGGTGATGATAAGACAATAATCAATAAGTAATTAAAGAGAGAAATGTCGCCTAACAAAATTTGTCTTTACTGTGAGCAGGTGTTTTTGTAAAACTCCAAGATTTGCATACAGTGCGGCTAAAGATACCAAAAGAAGCAATTTTTAAAAACTTCCTGAATTTGAAATTTTATTTTATTATATTTTTAGATATTCCAAGATTTCAGTGTCATGGGAGATAAATAAAAAATGGGTCAATATGTTTTATTGGAGAGAAATATGTCTTGATGTGGGTGTAATTAAGCAATCCTTGGCACTTTAACTAGAGATGAAGATAGATGAACAGTTGCAATTTATTCATTCTAATTATTTTATTCGCATGTGATTGTGGATACTACATATTCAATTATTTATAAACTATAGTATTCTCATCCTCTATTAAAATATAATTTCCTATGGCTACATTGTTATAAAATATATTGTTGTGGGAACCTTATTCTAAGGCTGCTAAGCAATTATTAATTGTTAATTTCTGTCATAAAGGCTATTAAAATTTAGGAATATATATAGAACTAACCATTTTTGTACGTATTATCTACGAAAATAACTAAATTTTTTTAAATTAATCATTTTTTCCGGAAAACATTCCGATTTTAGACGGGTTACCCGAATAAAACTGGTCAAAAATCATTTGTATGGTCCCCACCTATATATATAGTGACCCAACTCCTACCAGACCTACGTTACATAAACTTCTGAAAAAATTACGGAGTTGACCTTTAAACTTCATTTCGAAGAAGGTTATGGATTCGTCATAACATGTTAGTTTTCACGTGAATTCTTAATACGATTTTAAGAAAAAGATTTATTATACTTGTTATCTGGAACGCAAATAAGGTTCCAAATCCTTAGAACGATTCCCAATGGTTTTGTATTACAAGGCGATCATTAATTTTTTTCCCTGTATTTTCGTTGTTAGAAACTTCAGTAAGATTCATGGCAACTTGTACGTAGTGTAAACAATCTTACATAACATTGTAAACTTTATCCGATATATTACCTTTGTCTTGAATCCGACGGATTATCTGGAATGAACATGCATAATATTGTTTTATTGATTGTTGTTTCTTTAGTAGTACAATGTTGTATTATTATTGAGTAAGAAAACTTTATTTCCATACAACCAAATGTATAGAATCAGTCCCAAATCCGAATCAATATTTCAAATTAGTATCAATGTGCACCCGATCAAATTACATGGATTTTTCTTTAAAATGGGTTTTACTGATGAGGAGCACCTCTAGGATCTTTCTGAATCAAAGGCGTTCAAGGTAACGAGAAATACACACACACCAAAAAGGTTGAGAAACAAGAATTGATCTGGACCCTTTAAATTTCAAGATCTATGGTCGGCTAATCTGAAGTTGCTAATTATTTTGATTTTGAACAATTTTCTCATACTTATCCTCCTATCCATGTTAAATGTTGACGAGTGGATTAAAATATTATTAAGAAAAATTAAATGTGACAAATGTCATCTTTTGACATGAGTAGGAGGATGGTAGGAAGAAATTTGTGACATCCCCAATTTTCAGAACCGAAAAAAAAAATTCTTTACGCTTTAAAAATCATAATATCTTTTATTGCGGAAATTCTCAGTATATTAAAACAATTTGAGTACAAAATATTGTCTCAAAATAATACAACTATAGGGATGTCATAACTGATACACAACATATGTTACAGCATAAAGACCTAGCGGTCCTGAACTCTATTGCATGTCTTCTCTCAACATCATACTCGAGTCTTCAGTAGTCTTACATTGCTACCTGTGATGCATATAAATTAAGTGGGTCAGGTTGGGAAACCTGGTGAGATACATAGGGTTTTCATTCCCACAATGTGATAATAATGTATATCTCAAACCTGCAAAACCACTATTATCATTAACACAGATATACCATATCCATAAAACAATCTATCCCATCCCGTCGATCCCCACGTACTGATCCTATACAATGATCTTACAAGATCTAGCCTAAAGGATCAATATGAACAACAAACTGATGACGCTGCTTCGGAAATTCCCCGACAGCAAACGAGGATCAATAAAGACATCAAATGAGGGGAATGGAATAAGTTTCACCTCGAACCTCCGTTCGTAAAAACCACAAGACAGTTAAGTCAGGGGTAGTTATCTAGATAATTGTGCCTAGCAGTGGTCTGACACCATGAGGTATTTTACCCCCAGACTCACCCTATCCGACAATACAACATCAAACATACCTGGTAGTGATCTAGTACTGACACACTTTATTAGGCAGTCAACGAAGTTCCCTCAATTACTTCGTGAAAGGAAACGCTGACACATGAAGCTCGTCCGATCACTTCATAAAAGAAACGATGACTCCAAAGCTCTTCAGAATAAAAGTATGGGGAAATACTAATAAAGTACTCTCGTACGCTCCCTTAACCGACACACAATAGTGTCAAACGAAGACTTTGTACATGATAGTACTTTTGGCACATTATAGTACCCTGGTATGAGTAGGACTCGTACCCCAGAACATAATAATACCCCGAAACAAGTAGCACCTGAGACATAGAGCTTTGAAAAAGACTTCGTACATAAAATGTACTTCTGTACGTAGGACGTAGTCCACCGACCATCAATCTCAACACACATGTAATCTTAATAAGAGGCTACCGAATGTCCAAACTTAATTGAACTAAACATCCCCTTTTAAGTCTTATCACATCACTAGCAAAACTACAATGCTTATGATCAATTTTCAATACCATCTCCGTTTAGGCAACGCTAACTAGTGTATACTTAACACAGAGGTTTAGGTATTAATTTACTTTTTTTTAGAAATAATACTTCTATTATTATTATTATTATCACGTAATAATATCATATATATACATCTTAACACATATAGAACCATAACAGGTTCGCACATCGTATATCATCAAATATATATCTAACACATATTTCAGGCAATAAGCATATAATTGACATATAAACTTTCAACAAATATTTAATAAATTAAATAATACTTGTATTAAAATCATGTTCATGAAAGTAACTATGCACTCACTTGGCTAGTTAGTGGAAACTAACTACGATCGTGGCCTCAAGCTCAGTCTGCCAACATATTATCTTGTCAAAACCTTATCTCATTCCGTGAGCATATTCCCGTAATCGGCGTAATTACACACTTCCTTTATCTACGAGTCACCGCTCGAACGTTCGGAATTCCGGTCGGAGAAATACAACATTTTAGGCTATTTATATTTGACTGTAATACGTGCCGACTTACCAACGGATATGATTCCTTAATCTTAAAAAAAAAAACTTCTATGATCTCAACTTTCTTTATTTTCACTCTAATTTCTTGATACTAAATTTCTAAAAAGATTTTCACTCTTTTTTCTTTTTTATGAAAAACGTTTAACCCAACATTCCTATTTATACTGAAGTTTAGATAACTATTCATACCTTATGTTCTATCCATAAGCACCTGTCCATCTCTTTATGTTGACACGTATCACTCCTTAGTTAACACATCCACTTTTTAACTGATTGATCAACACATTTTCAAATTTCCATAGCTTCAAGCCTCCATATTATAACACGTATTTGTTTAGTTTGATTTTTTTTTTTTTGTTGACAATATTAGTCAGACTTTCATTGCTACATGCCTTTCAAAACTTGGCACCACATACTTCTTACATTTTTATTTTTATTTTATATGTATTAAGCATGGTTTTCAAATTGAATCAAAGCACCCAAAAATTCTATTTTAATTTGTCTCATCATCATTATTGGTATGGTCGTATATGTATGTTTTCCTTTTAACATAAAAACCATATCCAGCTTAAATATAATATATATTTATATATATTAATGAATTTTGAATCGGTATTAGCTATGAATACGAAATATTATCAAGATATATAATAGATATAATTTTATTTCACCAATCTAAATTTAATAACTGATAAATAATGTCGTAAAATATAACTAATAATTATCGTCGAACAACGAGTGTAACATAAGAATTACCATTTCGCTACTTGAGTTCACCCTTTAATGTATTTATACCAAATACATCTTATATAGTTTGAGATTTATGGTCGTTACAATTTTCGCTAAGATTATTTATGCTAAATAATCTTCTATTTAAAAAATGTTATTTTATCGTTCTTCGATAATTTTATAAAAAGATTTATACAAATATTATATACCAATAATATTTGTCCACATAACACATATATAATAAATAAGTATTTATATAACGCCAAACACATACAAAGAACAATTATCCGATTCGAGGATTTTAATTGTGCGATAAAATGAATATTTAGTATTATTATCCCTTTAACTTCTAACCCTAACTCACAGGGGTTACAAAATTATAGGATGATATTTAATTTCTTTTTAAAAAATTTATCATTTTTAAATCGACGTCGTGTGTAATTGGGTGATATGCATATTATTTGATTGCTTAAAATCAGCTACATAAAAATCTATAGGAATTGTTTTCCACCAAAATCGTTCTTTAAGATTCGAACATATCATCTTCATTTTCCAAAATCCTATTTTTTTTTGTTGGATTTCTTATATTATATAGTAGGAGGATATTTAATTTCTCTATATAATATTATCTCCTCATTTCTAATTTTACATCATCATAAAGAAAACGATAATCATTATCTTCCATTGGTCTTCATTCCTTAGTCGATAGTCTGAGGAGGGTGTAAGTATGGATTCAGAAAAGTGTAGTACACTGAGGTTCGACATTGAAGTTTAGCAGCAAAGGTAAGCTTTTTATATATGCATATCGACTATTTATCTAGTATTTGTTTTTCAGTCGGCAAGAAATTTGAATTTTTATCTAGTATTTGTTTTTCATTTCGAAAGAAATTTGTATTTTTATCCAATACATCATTAACATTATATCCATTTTATGTTTATGATTATTCAATCAAGCAAAATAGTTTCCTCTTCTTCATCTCTTATGAATTTTCCTAGTTTTTCTTTCCATGATATTCGCGTTTCCCCAATATACCTACTTAACTAGAAAATCAAATATGCATGCTTGGTATGTTTTACTTACTGCGTTTAGAATAATCATAGATGATTAACATGTAATTCTCTACTAT